AGTTTAACGTGTACCACCGGTGGTACACATGGCACGGAACGTGTTAAAAATGGATCGACCGCGACGTTTCAATCGCAGGAAAGGCCAGAAATTGAAGCTGCCGCCTTGGAGACTGAAGCTAACGAGAAAGGTGAAAAATCGGAGGTAGCTAAACCCGAGCCATTTGAATCACCTCCCTTGAAGAAAGGTATTATCGCATTGTGGAGAGCACGCTGCATCACGCCCTACAATCCTGATTTATTACCGCCTGAGCCGATACCGCTGCAGGAAGAGGTAAGAACGTACAGCGTGGTACAACTTCTTTTTCATTAAACGACATCGATATAAATAAATATTGAATAATTACTAAGGCAACGATATTTGATGATATCAAGAAAGTAAGAAAATGAACGAAAAATAAAATGTCAAGTGATTGCGTGCGCAGTTCGAGAAATATTCTTATCTGACGAATTGTCGAGTATGCGTTCATTAGTAAAATTACGATATCCGTGTTCAGAGTATTTCTTACTTTATGTAACATATCCGCTTCTTTAATGCTAACTGATTGAGTTACTCAACGAACCGTCTTTCAGGAAGCTTAACAGATAAACTTACGAGTTCGTTTCGTAAGTGATACGAATTTTTAAAAATTCCAATCCAATCCCCGTGAAACATATAATTTTTTAGGTGTCCGTGGATTCTCTGGTAGATAAATGTTCGGAAGATTTAGCAATGGCACCGGAACAATACTTGAAGTACGAAGACGAATACGAAGGTGAAATGAGAGGTTATTACAATGATACTGACTACACTAGACCATCCGTTGAAACAATTTAATTAGGGAAATCAGTGTTAAATTTAAAAACAAGACGTAATGTTAATCTTCTCTTCTTTGATCGCGCATTAAAATATTTCTGAGCAAACGAAAATAAAAATACATTAATTAATAATTATAATACAAAATGAACTTGTACACATTCGGCACGTAGTTGTGCGTAGATGGTTAGGCAAAAATGCAACATGTTTTTAAGCACTTTATTTAGGAAATTATAATAACAAATGTGCGTATGTGCCCATATCAGACAATGTAAAGAACTTATTTTATAGGCACGCGTAGGTCTTGTTCGAAAGTTGCATTCGTCAAAGTGTTTGAAGTATGTCTAATGTATGTATATATATTATGTGTATTACATTGAATATATCAGCAACAAGTAGAACGCGAATACGTATTCATAATATTAGCTAAGCGTACGCTCAAGATAATCGTAGTCTATTCAATTTTACTCCAAAGATAGTCATAGATACGCAAAGGATTTTGTATTTTCTATATATATATATGTGTGTGTATGTATGCATGTGTGTGTGTGTGTGTTCCTTGAAAGCGCAAGCTCGCTCGTACCGTTCGATCATTTAATTCTTTTTCTTTCTTTTAATTCATTTTCCCTTTTATGGCGTACAAGCGTATGTACTTCAGAAGTACGTTCGTCGATGATAACACGTAGACAGATGAGTAGGTAGATAAATAGATAGATAGATAGATAGATACAAATAGAAAGAAAGAGCGATGATTTCAAAGTATATTTACAATATCCAGTTGATCCGGACTTAAATAGGAAGACGAAAACGTTGTTTTAAAAAGTATAGATGAAGAAGTAATATATAATAAGTGGAAGCAACTTTTTTTTCTTTACATTAATAAAACGTCGAGAAATACAATTTGCTTTTCCAATCGAATTATTCACCATCCTCCACTATTAACCTAAATACCAATCAAATACGAAGATTTTTTTGAAAAATTGTTCTCTCTAACAATACTAATAAATACTGGCATTCAAAGAGTTTGAGAAATACTAAAAGGAGCGTGTATTTTAATATACATATGTATATTATATATATATAGTTTATGTGTGTATATATATAGTTTATGTATAT